TTATCGATAACACCAAATGCATTTTTAATTACTCCATTTTTTTTTTAATACCCCCCNACATACGTAATACCTTTCGGGTTTGACGGATTTAATGTGATTAAATGTACGGATTAAAATTACTCTGACGGTAAATTCAAAGTCGATTATTTTTTTTTTTTTTTTTTTTACTAACTTTTATCATCATTAATCCAGTTTTATTGTTATTCCGTAAATGATCTTGTAGAGTAATCTTTTAAACAGAATTATCGATAACACCAAATGCATTTTTAATTACTCCATTTTTTTTTTAATACCCCCCTGTCCCCCTCTTTTTCGTTTTATAATAATAATAATAATAATAATAATTGTAATCGAGTTTGAATTTAACTTATACATCATATCGATATTTACGAGCGTGTATGAGATTGCTTTTAAAATAGAGTGAAAATATAAATTGTTAAACGTGAGATTGAAAGATAAAAATTTAAAGATAAATAAAATTAGTATTAAAAATAATAATAATAGTTAAAAATTTCTAGATTATTAAATTATTCACACATATATATATATGTATATTTTAAATTTATATTTATATAATAATTATAATTATATTATTAATTTAGAAATTTAAAAATAAATAAAACTAATACTAAAAATAATACTAGTTATAAGTTTCTAGATTATTACCAGAAAAAATTCGTTTCGAATGAAATTTGTACAAAAAAAAAAAAACAGAAGAGAAACAAAAAAAACAAAATCCCCGTAAAATCGTCATCTCTTTAAAATTGTAATCTAATCTACTAAATATTTGATTGTTTTTTCATTTATTTTATACATAAATGTGCACACACACACACACACACATAGACACACACACACACACGCGTATATATTAAAGAACATGTATTGAAGATGATTATACTTTGTCATGTTAAATTAATCATATTCTTCTCGTTTACGTTTACGTAAGTCAAATACAGCAAAGTGGAAGAGAACGAAACACACACACACACACACACACTCTCTCTCTCTTTCTCTCTCTTTCTCGTTTCTAATCACCTTAATTACAATGTCTTTTTTTTTCTTCTTTCTTTCTTTCTTTTCTCTAAGAAAATTGTATATGCTCTTAGAAGCTAGTTAATTAGGAATGTAAAACAACAAAAAACACTCTACGAATTCCAACTATGATTCGTAGATGACAAGTAAAAGGAAACAAATTTACTATTACTGATAGAATAGGGAAAAATTGTTTAAATAATATTACAATGAAAAATGAAAGAAAGAGAAATAAATAAAGAGAGAGAGAGAGAATGAGAGATAGAGAGAGAGAGAGAGAGAGAGAGAGAGAGAGAGAGAGAGATTAAACGACAAGTAACTTTACTGTCACAGTATTTTGTCTTTGATCGTAAATAAAAATTTCTCATCACAATTATCGAAATCATTTGTTCGATATTTTTAAAGTTAACATTAAACTTTTTTTTTTTAAACAACTTCTTCGTTAGAAATTCTTTTAAACGTGTGTTTCATTTTGAAAGCTTATAGTAACATTTTTTTTTCAATTTCTTATTTAATTTATTCATTCATTCATTTATTTGTTTATTCATTTATTTATTTATTTTTAATAATATTCTGTATATTATTCGAAACTAATAAAGATCGATGTATAACACATACACACGTATAACACGTTGTGATTAATCATTCTTCTTAATCTCAATCATCATCATCATCATCATCATTATTATTATAATTACAATCATAATTAATAATAATATATCTATTTATATACATATATCTATATAGATATAAATAATAATAATAATAATAATAATAATAATAATAATAATAATAATTACTATTAATAATTAGAATTATTTATAAAACGAACGAGCACCATCGTAATTATTTTAAATGCGATAATTTTCTAATTGTAAGTTTTACATTTTTTTTACTTATACATATATATATATATATATATAGATATAATATAAATATACAGAGAGTCTTACAATAATATTCGTAAATTGTTTCAAATTTGAAATTTTGAAATAATTCCTATACATGATTTGTAACAGCAAAACTTTACAATTCTCATACGTGTTAAATTTTATTTAAAAAAAAAAAATAATTGTATAAATTGATATAAATTATATTGCAATAAAATATAACGTTATTTAAATGATACATAAAATTGATCACATACAGAGAGAGAGAGAGAGAGAGAGAGTATTATTTACATCTATGAAAGATATATTATTGTATATATATATATATATATATATAATACAAAAATAAAATACGATAATTAATTTTGTCAATATTTAAATAAATTAAAATAAAATATAATAAATATGAAATATTGAAAATAATAATTTAGTTAATTATTATTTGACAAAAAAAAAAAAAATTCAATCTTTAAAGATTAATGAATTAATGTAAAATTTTGTTAAAATGTTGAAAAATTAATTTAATGTAAATATTTATTACAACATAATTTAACCAATATCACAAATACCAATGAATGATTTTATCAATAACGAAGTAAAATATTATCTTATCTTATAATTAATTATTTTTTCGTAAATTATATCAAAATGTCATTATATAAATCATATTTTTATATATTTAATTTATCAAATTAAATATAATTAAATTTTTATTAATTTTTATTTATTTTTTTTTTTTTTTTAAAATTTAATCTTATAAATTATATTTTTTTTATATTGTATAAGAAATAATGAAAAAAATATTATATTACGAGATAATAATATATTAATTGTTTCAAATTAATAATAATAATAATAATAACCCAAAGAGTACGAATAATTTCTATGACTCACTGTATATATATATATATGAATTTATATGCTATTTACAGAGTCCATCATTAATTATTGCTATGATACATTTTTACACAGATATTTGAAATCGTCGAGATCATCGATGCCTCGCGCGAGTAAGGACGGAACGTTCATTGTTTTTAATTAAAAGAAAAAAAAAAAGAAAAAAAAGAAATTTTCTCTTTATTTTTTTTCTTATTTCTCTCTTATTTATTGTTATTAATGTTGCTTTTATTTTTTTTTATGTGCTTTTTATTCCTTCTTTTTTTATTATTATTATTATACAATATATTTTCGATATTATAATACAACGAAGAGCGATTATTTTTCTTCGTAATTCGAAATAGGAATAAAACAATATTAATAATACTAATAATAATAATAATATTAATAATAATAATAAATACGTAAAAATAGAATGAACGAAAACACGAATTTTATTTAACCCATTGAGTACTAAATACTTTAACCTAAATTGTTTTTAATATTTAATAAAAATTTGCAATAAATAATACAAATGTAAGCTCAGTAACTATTATTATAATAATCACGTTTTATACCGGATACGATATAATCGGAAAAGTAATCAAAGTTGGAAAAAAATTTGCCTTTTATTAATGGACGTTTAGTTAAAAAAAAAAAAAAAAAAAAAAAAAAAAAA